TTAACTATTGTACACCTATTTTTATTACTTAATCCAAACCCTATTGGGTAGTAAGATAGTTTTGTGGTTAGATATTATTCATTAAGTGATAATTCCAGTTATTTTAATCTATTTGTCCAAATATTTAGATATTATACATCATCATCATCATCAGCCCTTTTACGTCCCCACTGCAGGGGCTCAGGCCTTCCTTATGGATGGTTAAGGAGGATGGGCCATGACCCTCCACGCTGGCCCAATGCGGATTGGAGGGTATTAACGACTGCAAATGCAGCCGGGACCAACGGCTTAACGTGCCTTCCGAAGCACGGAGTAGCTCGAGATAATAATTTTTTGGTCACCCATCCCGTGACCGACCCTTGTGAAAGTTGCTTAACGACTACGATCGCGGGCCGCGGCGCTTATCCACTACGCCAGCGAGCTACTCTTTAATTTTTCTTTACAACTTGTATAATGTGTAACGTGGGGACTTCAATGAGACTACCATTGCTTAGCGAATATGATTTATTACTAAATATTATTATAGTAATAGTATCATTAATTACTTAACATAATAAAGGTGAAGGTGATTTATAAGTTACAAATAAATGACAATATAATCTGACTATTCGGATATTATACATTATCACTCGATTTTTACTGCAAGTGTAACATATCAACTAGCTCAGTTATGTTTTAGTACTTTTTGAAATCGTGCATTCTGACTCTGTTTTAGTAATAAAATCTTACAACAAAATTTTGTGTTTGATCACACATGCTACATTAGGCAGGCACTAATACATTATAGTAAAAAATAGTAATATCACTTCTTTATTATAACTAAGTATACCGTAACGAAATTAAATCATTTAAAACGCGTGAATCGAATATGCATCAAAACAAAGGTCGGATGTCGAAGTTCAGAGTTGATAGACGTATGATTGAAGTCAATTTTAGAAAAGAGATAAATTACAGGAATGATTCAAAAAGTTATTTCTGTAATGTGATCTATATTTTATTCAGTATCTAAGTGAAATTAAAAATGTATCTTCAAATGCTTCGCTAAGTATAAACTCGACAACGGCAAAAACTCGAAAAAAGCATTTAATTAAGTTTTTAGAAAAAAAACTGACAATTGTTATAGTTTATGTACGAGTATATGTGTGCTGATAAAAATAAATAACTCATTTTCCGTACAAACATATTTATAATTATACTAGCTGTTTTCCCGCGACTGCGCCCGTTTTCATGATCGGTCCATTATTTCCGGACATAAGCTCAGCAAAAGAAAAACAGAGTTAGAAACATTACCTCTTCATAATATTAGTATATATTCTTGTAAGGGGCCGTCCATTAATCACGTGAGGCTCGGGGGGGGGGGGGGGGGGGGGAGGGATTCGTCAAAAATCCCGAAATATCACAAGGGGGGTGTAATAATATATCACGTGTTTAAAAGCGACGTCAAAAATTATGATTTTTTGTTTTTTTTTTTAATAAAAGCACGTGCTTTGGTTGAAGGAGGGAGGGGGTAGTCTTAAACCTCGCCATGTATCACCAAGGGGGAGAGGGGTCAAAAAATGTTGAAAAAAACATCACGTGATTAATGGACCGCTCCTAACGTGGTTTATTGCAAGTCGAAAAAATTGCCCTAGTTTTTCTGTAATTATCTCGTGCATATTAAATAGAACTCACTGTTTTGTTCAGCGATAAGATCGTTAATTACAGTGCTTCTATATCACATCTTTATATTTGAAGTTAATGAATAAAGACTACACACTGTTTTCGTGGATTTCGTTTTTTCTGAGCCTACGCTAATTCAGAAATACTTAACACAAAGTATGGTCTTTGCCTCGTTTTTACTTAATAATTTAGTTCAAATTAGTATTTAGATTCTTTGTCAACACAAGATAGTGTAAATTATCTTTATATTTTTCACCAACTACTAATAACTTCTCAGTCCAGCTATGCATTTCTGTTAAAAGCAGTTTCAAAGTCGTCGTTGAATCAAACCTACTTCAAAAGGTAATAAAGGTTTAATTTCATTGAAACTCCATGCCAGTGTTTCCCAATGATTGTTCTGCCATGGCACGGTATTTTCACACCGCCTCTTCGTGACCCCACTCAATATTTTTAAACCCAAACTGATTTCATTAAATAAAACAATCTGGCTAACAAGAGATTTGCTCGGTATTTTTTTTTTTTTTTTATTAAATTAAACCTAGCTAGATTGATTTAACGACCCCGGAACCTGCATAATAAATTTATTACAATTACTACCGTTTCTGAGATTCAGATTATAATATGTACGAATTGCTCGTTTAAAGTTAACCAATTTTTAATAGCCCATTACAAAAAATGTTTTATTAATACTAAATACTTTTATATTGCCTATGTAGTCACTAAAATGGAGCAGCTGCAAATTTTTTACTAAAGAATCTATGTTCGCGGAATATATCTAAAATTTATGCTAAGGTCCAAATTGGGTTCGTTATTTATTTTTATAGTAAACTAGTTGTTGAAAGTCTCACGTTTTTAATTGAAATAAATAACATTGAAAAGGTTATTACTTGATGAGCGGAAAATGACCCGGTGTTTCATTTTGATGGCCTGGTACCGGGTCGTGAGATTCACTGCTTTTTGCTATGACACTGCTACACACGACGACGAAATCGAGGATGTTTTTTTATTAGAATAGCACTGCAGATGGCAATCTTGTGTCAGTCAAGATAACGATCTTATATCAACAAAGATAACGGTTGTGAAGTTGGAGATTAAATGTCTTCCTATTTTTCAATAACTATATTTGTTACCGTAAACATCAATTTTCTTTTGAAATGGAGCATGCTTGGTTTTATCGCCTATTATGTTGTTAGATCTTACTTTAATACTATACGAACACTCTAGGAAATTATTGAGAAGTGACTAGGGCTCAATCCACACAGACGCGGCTGTAGTCAATAGTTAGCGTCCAGCACTTTCACTGTCAAATCATTTAAAACTTAACCTCTATTATTAAATAAATAGTATGTCATAACACTTTGACCAGACACAAGAAAATGCAGCCGTTCCATCCACGTTTCTTGCTTGTTGATTTTGTTTGTTGAAAACCTTCACCACAAATTCAATCATATGGAGGTAGCTACAGTGTTTGACTTGGTTCGCTTAGGTTTGCAAGCGCTTGTAGACGATCCAAACGATGTGGATTTATATCATAAAAAAATGGGATTTGCGGCTTGTGATTTGACCAGACGTTTGCTGCAGAGGTTTGGAGTTTGCGGCAAGTGGCAAAAGTACGGAAGCGGTATATCACAAATTGCCACAAGCGCTTGCAATGCGTACACGTTTTTGCGTTTGTAGAAGTTTGGTGTTTCTACAAAGGGCAAGCGTGCGAACTTGGCATATCACAAATCAAAGGGAATATGCCTCAAGTGCTTGCGATGCGTACATGTTTGTGTATTTGTAACAATTTCGGCAAGTGGTAAACGTGTATACGCAGAATTAGGAACTGATTGATTGCCAGTCACTCTGCCAGTCTGTGTTGTCAATCGCGACCACTTTGGTATAAATTATTCCCAAAAACTTAATAAAATGTGCACCAGAAGCAAAAGTATAATTATGCTCTCTAAAGGTTGTAATAGCATAAAAAAGTCTATCGCGGAAATAATTCATTTTGCGTGCGTGACCACTGGTTACGCACTGATTTGATTAACATTTTAGTACACTTTGATAAAAAGTTTATTTAAATGCATAAAAATTAATTCTTAGGAATAAGAACGATGAAGGTCAATCGCCAAATTCTATAGACCATTTTGTTAAAATACTGTATTTATCTACTTATAATATGCATATAAATTTATTTGTCAATGTTGTGTTGTAGGTGTTTTAGTTACTCGTAGCTCTACCTAATACTCAGTAGACTTTATTCAGTAGAATCATACAACCATTTTTTATATCAATTATTACCCCATAGTTCTCTTGATCTCAATCTAGCATGGGGGCATGAATGAGATCTACAGTCGGGTCACCTTGCTTAGAAGAATCCTGTTGACCCTCTACATATATTTTGGTATATGCTCTCCCAATTATAGACGTTGTTTATGTTGTGCTTGCCAGTGCGCAGAATAAAAAGAAAGAGGGACGTTAAGTTGTTGGACCTGGGTGGTGGGTAATGTTCCATTCCCTATTCGATTTCACCATAGGTAATGCCGTTTTTATTGTAGGGAAAATATTTTAAGCATACCCCGCCGCCTGACGAACAACGAGATTATATGGGTCCCACGGTCCCACAGAGGCCTACCCACTAAAAAGTGTACCCTCACATAGGGAGGATGAGACCCGGGAAGCCGTTGCCGAGTTACCGAGCTGTGCTCCTTCTTATTTCAATCCTACATTAATGCGGACAAAGCCGCGGGTAACAAGTTAGTGATATTTTTTACAGCATGACCTTCGTGCAGCGGGCGCTGATTGCGGTCGTGTACGCTGCTCGCCCGTGAAATTCTAGGGCACGATTGTCATTTGTTATGTACACTTCGGAACATTTTTTTTATTTAGGAACTTATTGGAATATTAACGGGTATAGTCTCAACCAGCTAGTTGTAAATTTAGATCATTCGATATCGAATAATGTGAATTGAACATGGATACTTGACTAGCTCATCAGGAGTTCTCAAACTTTTCTTGATTAAGTATCACTTTATGCTTTTTAAATTGAATCTGTAACGCAATACTAAACCATTTATGCTGAAATGAGACAGAGTGTCAGCATTACAACAAAAGACAATATATAAGGATTTATGCAAGCAATTATAAACGAGCTGGTCTATTTTAGGCTTCCGTCGTGTACAAGCTTTATAGGTGCTTGATACCGTCATTCATGGTTTGGTTTTCAGTGAAAATTATCTTTTCTGTGTTTTCTTGTTTTTGGAATTTTTATTGTTTTTTGTTTCTCAGTACAAGGCTAGTAATTTAAGATTTGTCCAGTAAGTAATGTGGCTTAACATTTATCTATTTATTGTTGACAGATAGACCCAAACACAGCGTTCCTGCGAGCGGCGCGCGCCGGCCAACTAGACACTGTTGTGGACCTGCTAGACTCCAGCGCAGTGAAAGACATAAACACATGCAACTCGGTATGTTAATATATCTTACTAATATTATAAATGCGAAAATTTGTGAGGAGGGATGTATGTTTGTAGCTATTACACGCAAAAACTGAACTGAACGGATTTGGATGTTATTTGATTATAAGGATAAGTCTATGCTTGAAGTTTTTATCCCACTAAGCGGTTCCGTAGGAATAATAATGTCGTGTCGTCATGTGATGCAGGTGTAGCCGCTGGCGGAAAGCTAATGCACAATAATTATGGTTTAAGTCATATTGTTTTCCAAAGGACTATAAGAAATGTAAGAAATTATATTTTAAAGAATAACAATTGCAGACCTGCTTTCTGTCACTGCATTATTAGTATTGAATTTATAAAAAAAAATGTTATAGGACAATAACGAATAAAAAACTTGGTGCATTAATGAATACAAACGCACGCAAACTCAATCACTCTATCAATAAGTGACCTAAAAATACCTACTAGTTCTCAAATCGTCTTTTCTATGCAACTATAATTAAAAAAAAAAACGGCCTTAAATTCAAGGACAAGTAATTTGTATATTTTTCCCAGTACAAAATAGACGCCAGCTTTATCTTTCTGTTTATGAAATACATCTTATACATAACTGGCGAGCCAGATTGGCTTCGCTCGAGTGTAAAATTCTGCTTTTGCTCCAAAATCAATATCAAAATTTTCTTATATTCTTGCCTATCATGTATTTAGGACTCTTATAATGTCCTCTTTTTGAAACAATTAAATATACAAATAAGCGCAACAAGTACCTAGTTCTTATTCCTCAGAGGACTGTTTGTAGTGCTAATTCCATGTCAGTTGGGAATTAAATGCATGCAAATTGAATATTATATTATAGAATACTCTACAAAATTTGTAGAGCGGAACAATGTATGCAATAAAGGATGTAAGTGTTACACGAGGACAGCGATACAATATTATTATTATAAAGTGTGCGGATTTTTATTTTTTACAGATGATAGATATATTTCTCTTGCCACTATAACAACAAATACTGATAACCCTTTATTTGCAGTCGGGTAAAAGCAGAGTAAATAAGTATTTAAGTGGTCACCCACCCCGGGATTTATGGCGTTTTTTTATAGATAATGTACAATAATGTACAGATTTCTTCGTGCGCGAGTCCTATTCGCACTGTATGCTTTATCAATAGCCTATGTCAAGCGCACGTCATCGAACTCGATCGTCGGCTAATCTCATCCAGTTTTTGTAAGCTATCTTGCCAAGATCGTCTTCTTATCGACTCTGAGCCGTCTAATTTCTATCTTCTGTGTTGTTTGCCAATCCGCTTGTGCTTAAAAATCGTTATACATGAATACGTGTAGATAAAGCTAATAGTAAAATAGATGTCATCACATAATGCAGATAATACGGCACAATAAATGCATCCTGGCAGGTGGTGAAGGTTAACGAACATTGCATAGGTAGTAGGGAACTAGGACACCGCTATGCCACAGTGTTGTTTGCAATAATAATAATTTCGCTATCGATATCTGACCTTTGGAATTGTCAAGTATTTCAATAGTATAATAATAAATAGGGTACATCAAGCATATTCACGTGCGATACTATCGATCTATAATGAATGGGTGATACCAGTGACAGCTAGTAAAGATATTTACAATGAATTCTGTATGATTTGACGATTTATTGGTGATATTAAGTTTGTATATTTATTTAGTTGACATCGCTCTTTATGTTCTGTGGTTGACATGTTGTTGAAACTACTACTAGTGGAAATTTTACTAATAAATCTATAATGTTTGAATGGTTGAATATCGATAGAGAAAAGAGAATTCTAACGAAAGTTCGACTGATTGTCATAGCCAAAATAATATCGATAAAATATCGTTATCGCAACAACAAAAAATGCTCGCAAATCGACTTGTGGGGCTGCTGAATTAAATATAAGGTTGTACTGAATTATATGCAGGCTTAAAGAATCAGTTTTTATAACCTTACCTTACTTAAGTATAATGACACAAAAACACAAAAAATGTTAATTATCGAAAGTTACAATAGAAACATGTAGAGCTTAAAATAGATGATGACATTTATTTTTGTTTTGATTGAACACTACAAATTTGTATTTTGATTGAATATATGTTGCGGTAATTACATAATTAAAAAAAAACCAAGAGCGTGGCGGACTCGCGTACCGAGGGTTTCTCATAATGTAAAATTTCATATATCACACAATAGTTTGTTTGGCAAATTGTTTTTAATTATGTAATGGATCGCAAATAAGGCTATCAAATGGTATTTAAAGTTTATTGATTTACGTTGCGTGACTTTTGGGTAACCGACTTTCATTTTGTACTAAATTTTAATTCAATCAGACAAGAAGAATCGGAAAAAAACTTTCTTTCCTTTTGAGATAGAATTCTTGAGGAGTGAGGATACTTTTAACCTTTTTGAAGTGTATGACAAAACGAAATTAAAAACGAAAAGACATTCTTGATGAGTAGAAATCTTACAGTGTGTATTCATTAGTAGTCTAATTTATTACTTGAGATAACTTGTAAACAAATATGGCATCTTAATTAAATTTTACATTTGATGGCGTAGGGAAACATTGAATTATATAATTAATTAACTACTGAATGATTGCATATGATTTTTTCTCTTTGTATATTTCGTCTTTTATTTATCGTAGTTTATCTAATTTGATAATGTTTGGTTTAAAAATATTTTTATTACAGTAAGGAATATGATTATTTGGGAATAAAACGGCAAACGTCGATGGCGACCTCCCAGCCATTACGTCTGTTTTTAATAGTATTAATTTAAATAGATTAATAATAAATTAGATCAATAAATTAACAAGTGAAATTTGGCGTAATATATACAATAGTACTGTAAGAAACAAAGTTTTAATACTGCAATATTTTGATACCGATTTTTAATTAATCATTAACTAATAAAAGGAAACGGACAATAAATCATATGAACAACCTAGTAATGATTCCACCTTAAAATATGAGAAATCGATCAAAAATTCGATCCGTTTTCGATTCGATCTAAACAAAATTTATTTAGTAGAATTGGCCCCCAGTTTATTTCAAATCTACCAAAAATTTACGCGTCATCTAGTTGGTCTGTGATTTTTATAGAACATTCATTATTATAGATGACCTTAAGCTATTTTCAATGATAATGAATTTGTTAATGTATAAACTAGAGCATATAAGTAGTTATAACAGCTTAAATTAGGCGATTCCTTAGTGTGATTTGTAATTGACAGTTGTCCGTATACTACAAGTTAGAAAAAATGACTATAGACACACTGGTTCTACTTTTCAATATCCCAGAGTATTTAGAAATCTTTGAACAGTTGTTTTAATTAAAATTTCTGGTAATCAGAGTTTCATTAAAAATATTTTATGATTAATGACTCGATGATAACAAGTATCTGCGGATGCAGCTAATTACTGTCTTTTATGGGCCACACATGAAACTTCGTTTTACCTGGAATTGTAAAGTGAACTGACAAACTCGGTCACGCTCTGGCTTGGCTGTTATCTAGGGAATTTGGTGATGAAATATATTACAAACAGCCATATTATATAAAAATCCAATATAGTATAATTTTGCGACAATTTTTATACTATTTTCCAGTTTTACAGGCAGTAACAAGAACGATGTTTCACGAATGGAAACTGAATTGACTGTGGCATAAAGTTGAAAATGGTGTTAGTAAATTTTCAACTTTTTACAGTGTCGTCGTGGAGATACAACAGCACTTTAGGCGACTACAAAAGGCTGAAGGGCTTTAGCGCGTATTATTTTTAGACGTCTCTGATCCTTTTTTTCTCTCTCTAACCGGAAAAAAATGAGGATGTTCTCGATTCAATTATATTTCTTTTTATTTTTTCAAAACTCTTTACAGGGGTATAATAAAATTAAAACAAATTCTTTACATAGAAGTTTCATTGAAAATCTGTTCAGCAATTTTATTCTTATATCGATGAAATAAATAATAATCCTCCAGTTGAACGAAACTAAAGAAACTATTATCCCTAAAAATAATTCTTGATAACCACAAACGCCGTAAACTCCTTTGTGTTTTATTTTACGATATTTTGATGTCAATTTAAGCTTTTTATTTTTTATCCTTTGCCTTTCTACAATATAATGCATACGTGATTGAAGCGAGTCTTATTTATTTCATACTGTGAATGTGAGACTTAAAGAATGTATTAAATATATATTGTTTCTCGATTACTTTGTCACTAACTACATAGCTCTTGTCTAGTTTTATTTAGCGTATGTAATTCTCTTTCCCTTACTATGGAAATACTGTGGCTACAGTAACTTCACACTTAATTGCTATGAAATTAAAGTTGTTAATGATGTGGAAAACCAGAAAGAAATCGTGGCATTACGGAAAGAAACGTAGAATGTACTATATTTAACGTAACATCAATCAAAACATCACATTAATCAAAAAACGGTCTGTAGAGTCGGAATAATTATGAGTGATGATTTATTATTATTTGTAAGGAATTATTTATCAACAAAAAAAAACTTGTTTATATTATATTTTGTTCTTATTACACGTTGTCGATTGTGAACGTTTTAATTTTTATTCTGTGGAATTAAGTCTCTATATAATATTGATTTTTTTTATATACTTTGATATAAAAATGGCCCGGTTTTAGTATTGGGGTTTATATATGATATAAAAATAACTCATATAAGCCCCAATATCAAAACTGCTACACAATAAATTAAAAACTAACGTAATTATAAATTGGTATACCATTTGTTGATTATTTTTCATAAATATGTGAGCCACTTTGTAGCCAAGTCAAGTTTTGCTCGGCGCTATGAGGTTATAGAGCTTAATGTTTACTACGTTTAGGTTCTACGAAGTAGGTTTTATTTCATTGAATCTTTATGTCGTGTATACGCTGCGCTTGAAGCAATAATAATACAAAGTTGTTTTACGAATGACTATATTTTTTATAATGTAGGTAGAAAAGTGTGGACCCTTGTTCGGCTTGCTCTACCTTTGAACGAGCCCTGAATATAGTATATGTAGCATAGATTTATAGAAGCCTGATGGTAGTCAATCTTTCATTTTAATTAAAGGTTTAATTAGTCTCTTGTTTGTCGTGTTTTTGTACAGTTTAGGTCTCATCTGGTGATTACGGTCATAATACTTTTTTTATTTTCCACAAATGTGGCAATGGCTGACCATTACGGGACTCTGGTGCCCTCGACTGTCCGCTTTATTGCTCTGGGATAGATACCCGCGCGTATATTAGATGTGGACGATGTATTTTATTGGTGTGAATGTGAGAAAACTGTCTTTTATGTGCCACGTTTTTATGTACAGATTATTATCACGTATTACGAATCTGATGTCAATGCGAAAAACATCATCAAAGGATGGTAAAGAACATTAAAGATTAAAGATAAATCACACAAACAAGAAACAAAAAATCCTGAACAAAAATTCAATATAGTATTAAACATCATTAAATAAACGGCCCTGTAGAGTCACACATGCACACAGATTAGAAATTAATCTGTGTAACTCGTGCATAGATAAAAAGTAATAGATTATGTGGAAAGAATTGATATCTACTTATTTAGTAATGTAACAACGAATTGTTATATAGCGGCTATCAAAAAACGACAATAACATTAGTTGTTCAACTTCCGAATTAACCATAATGTTCCTGAGTTAGCAACTGTACAGAATTTTAACCGATCCTGTCCGACAATCGTGTAATGAGTCAGCAGTGTCCCCCCCGCTGAGAAACGCTCTCAGTCAAAATGCGCACCGTAAGTAATCAAGTTATAAAATGTATTGCGAAATTCTATGTCGATATGGAATAAGTCGCAAATGTAACGACCTTTTGTGGCGTTCCGCTCCACAAGCATATCAGGATATGGAATATTGTTTTACATTGTCCTTTCCTATATCCTTTCGTTTTATAAAACAAAGCTACTGTCTGATAAATTTAAAATGTAAGGGATTTGTCGTTTTCACCAATGGACGGAGTTATTCATTTGACATGTTTTGATGAATAATGAATTCATTATTTATGAATGAATGAAGTAGTATGATGGTGAAAAACTTATATTGTTAGATATCGAAAATAATAATAAAAAAAAATATATATATTTATACTTATCTAATTGACGGGTGCAATCAGATAGACAGGGAACATTTAATTTATTATATTGATACCCCTATAACAATAATTTTACAGTATCTGAAATGATTTCCACGTAGGTGCCAGGTAGATACGCAATGCAATAAAAAAAAAAAAGTGTACCTCATTTATAATACAGTCATCGCCACTTATTGTAGAAGTGTTTTCTTTTGAATGTTATAATGCTTATAATTATAAATCAGTAATGGTAATTCGCCTTTCACGATGGATGTTTTTTAACAATATTCTTGTTATTTAAATGATTTATTTAAATAGTGCGCGGACATGATCTATGCGAATAAAGAACAGAGCTTACTCAAAAACCTGTCTATGTCTTGTTTTAATTATACCTATGTAAAATTTATATAAAATGGGTATAATGAGAATAAAACATGTGAGTCAATTTATAACCGAAATATTTTTAATATATAATTCAATAAATATTCATTTTTACAATTAATTAAAAACCATTTTTGCCGGGCAATTCGTAATGCTATGATGTGGATGTCCCTATCTACATCTTTACTAGAGATTCACTGAAAAGTAATTTCAGCGAATTCTATTCGGTTTAACCTTTACTGAATCGGATATTCGGCCAAATCATTTTCTTTTCCATTTCATTGTTTTGTTGCATAAACAGGTTTAAAAATAAATGTTAAATTTATATTATTTTATTTAAGATATTTTTCATATTATTATATATAGGATTCTTTAGATTTATATAGATTTCTTTGACTTATAATATAAGATAAAATCATGTATAAGAACTTTTGTCTTGTAGATCTATACCTCGTCAAGTGATTAAGAAAATAGAATTACTCGAACCGAATATATTCGGCCCCAAAACCAAACGAATCGGCCGAAAAGATATAGTGAAAAACATGCCGAATACCAAACGAATATTAGGCGCATCTCTAATTGTTACTTTACAATAATAATAGACAGAAACGGCATTTTTTCTTTACATCTCCTCTTAAAGTTATCCCAAAATGTACTAAAAGGCTATAATATTTTGTTTCAGAACGGGCTGAACGCCTTGCATCTCGCTGCTAAGGATGGACACATACCAGTCGTAGAAGAACTCCTCAAGCGCGGCGCTGTAGTCGACGCTGCTACAAAAAAAGGTTAATATCATTATAGTTTAAAAAAAACTTAATACTAACCTCACATTCTTTACTCAACCCTCCGAAGGAGGCTAAAAACGATTATTAGAATTGTTTGTATGAAAACGTATGAACCATCACACGTGTAGGCGCCGAATAATCAGAATTGTCATTTAGTTGTAGTAATCACCTTCACTTTGATTATGTTAAGTAATTAATGATACTATTTTAATATTTAGTTATAAATCATATTCGCTAAGCAATGGTAGTCTCATTGAAGTCCCCACGTTACACGTTATACAAGTTGTAGAGAAAAATTGTTTCCAGGCCTGTGGTGACTACTTCGTCCGTGTAATTTTAATATAGCATACATCACCTAACACTATTAATATAGATAAATCAATGACCAACCAATGAAAATGAGACCATATGTCGCCCGTATCCCGTATTCGTGATGAAGTCGACCAATGCCGACATCCGAGCCGAGATACTAACGGTCAGTTGCACAAACGTCCATTAAGATTTAATGACGCTTTTAATTCGTATGGCTAATGTCGCTTTAAACTAATGACAATTATAAAGGATGTATGTGCAACTGGCTGTGTATCTCATATTTTTTGGATAAGTGGAATATCGAAAGTACCTCGAAACATGTAAGATAGTTCATTTTTATATTGACCCGACTGGGCATCGATTATGGCCTGCCTAAACCTACGTCAAAAGGCAACAAAGGTTCTATTCGATTGAACCTCTAATGCTGCAACATGTTTAACGTTGACAATTAAATGTCAACTTCTTTCTCGCTGGTATTCGTGGTTATTGAAATGTGACGTCACGCCTTGAAATAAAATAGTGGCTTTATGTGATTGATCATACAAAAGTTTTAAAAATACTTTACCCAAATCAAGTAGCTAATTGAATATACGATTATATTTCTTTTTAGGCAATACTGCACTCCACATAGCATGTCTCGCGGGGCAGGAGGCAGTGGCGCGCGCCTTGCTCGCAGCAGGCGCGAAGGCCGACGCACAATCGGCTGCCGGCTTCACACCCCTCTATATGGCAGCCCAGGAAAATCATGCGGGCTGCGTCAAAATGCTCCTGGCAGCCGGTGCTAGTCAGACACTCGCCACAGAGGTAACATATGACTTGATCATGCGACTTTTAGCATGTTCCCGTAAAAAATATTTTAGAAAGGACTTAGTCCTTAAATTAAATTGAATAGTTCTTAAATTAAAGTAATTAGATGTCGTAGATTCTAATTTATTCCAGGAGTTCACAGTCTGTTGGAAGATAGATATTGTACCAACCTAAAGTTTGAGATATTGTTAGCACTTGTTATTTCGTCCGTTCGTTATACAATAAATCTTTAATGCAATAAATTTACAAAATCGTTTCAGGATGGCTTCACTCCACTCGCGGTTGCAATGCAGCAAGGACATGACCGAGTGGTCGCGGAGCTACTGGAGTCAGACACTCGAGGCAAAGTTCGTTTGCCGGCGTTACACATCGCCGCCAAAAAGAACGATGTCAAAGCAGCGACATTACTTTTAGAGGTGAGTTCCTAATAAAATAATGTTTACTACCTTTAAAATATTTTTTTTATCCTTCTTTGTCTAATTGACTAATATTGCGCCAGTCAGTTTCCAAATTTCGGTTCCCGATTGCTGCACAAATATCTCTTCACCTTTGTCTGTGTCTGTTGAGCTTTTATCTTTTATGCTACATAAGGGATTTCGTTGTGATTTTCAATTTTGGATAGGAAATTTATTGAGGAAGGCCGATAGTTTCTATCAATAAAAAAAATGCATTTTTCTAAGCCTCTTGCTAAGCGCGAAACTCAGGAGCGGTTACACCAATGGGCAAATTTTTATTTTAAATATAAATTGGAATTCGAAGAACGTTTATATTATTAAAAAATTGAGAGGATTATAGTAAAAACGATGTTTTAGTTTGCTAATATAAAAAAAATGATTCTCAACAATAACTTAGTGATTATGTGATCTGCAGAATGAGCACAATCCAGACGCATGTTCGAAGTCGGGCTTCACTCCACTCCACATAGCGGCGCACTATGGGAACGTTGGTGTGGCCAAAGCTTTACTAGCGGCGGGTGCCGACAGTGGACGAGCAGCCAAACACAACATCACACCGTTACACGTGGCCAGCAAGTGGGGGCAGCTGGCTATGGTCGACTTGTTGGTAGAAAATGGTAAGCTTATATCAAAGAGTATAGATACTAGAGCGTGTGTTGGCACAACGTTACTTTTCTTATGCAAACGCAAAGTTCGGGGAAAAAAGTCCATAATGTCTATTGGTTAGTCAAAATTGTCTGTTACTCTATGGTTACCGAAGTAACCAAAAATATCGATATTGATTCGTATTTTTTTACATCTTTTGTGTAACTTAAAGTTGTAATATACTTTCTACACCATTTCATTGCTCAACTAAGCGCTTGTTTTTTGTTTTGTTTTATTTTATTTATTTATAAACGAGAGTTCGTAACATAAAATTATTATGATTACGTCTAACGAAAAAATCATAAACTAGAAATAATATATCGCGCCCTCACGCGTTTTCCAGTATATATTTTTCGTATTTTTTTTTTGGTCTTATAAATTCAATGTTATCCATTGTGTTTTTAGGAGCTAATATAGCGGCTGTCACACGCGACGGTTTGACGCCTCTACACTGCGCGGCACGATCTGGACACAGCAATGTTGTGTCCCGTCTGCTGCAGCATCAGGCACCTATCACCAGTAAAACAAAGGTAAATAAACATAAGCATTCTTTAATTCGACTTCTTTTGTTGATAAAAACATAATAACCTTCCTAATAATATTTTTTAAACATCTCCAGTCCCACCACTTCAGTTAACTATCCTTTACGAAAATTGTACAACATAATAACCTTCCTAATAATATTTTTTAAACATCTCCAGTCCCACCACTTCAGTTAACTATCCTTTACGAAAATTGTACAACATAATAACCTTCCTAATAATATTTTTTAAACATCTCCAGTCCCACCACTTCAGTTAACTATCCTTTACGAAAATTGTACAACTTTCTCAATTGTCCACTAAATGCGTTTATCGTTGAACCATAGAGTTCCTCCGTTTGGAATTAGTCATTACAACTACTTGATCGGATAGATGTTATTAAGTTTAAATATTAAGTGTCGATCACAGCATTATAATTCATATCAACCTGTCAATGTCCACTCTGCTGGGGCACGGGCTTTCCTATGAAATCGAATAGAATAGGGAGAATGGGTGATGACCCAGTGCGGGTTGGTGGGTGTCAGTGACTGCAGATGTAGCCAAGATCAATGGTTTAATGTGCCCGTCCGAAGCATGGAAGTTGGAGATAATACATTTTTAGTCTATCCCATTCTATTACCAGCCATTGCGAAAGTTGACAATCATGGGGTCATTCATGGTCATAAGAATATAATAGATGGCACTATTGGTCAATTACAAGAAGTAACTTTTTTAAGTGACTGATGTTAATATTTAAGTTAGTAAGTCACGTTTGTCAATATTCCCAAGCGTTGACTGGGTGAGAATGCTATTAGCATTAATTCTTTAATAAAGTAGTCATTAAACATTTTGTACCATGCTTGTATTAGTTAACAATAAATAAATAAGTAAATAATTATCAGTTTTGTCCACCTGAATGTTCCAGAATGGACTGACCCCTCTCCACATGTCCGTCCAAGGCGAACACGTGGAGACGGCCAAGGTTCTACTCTCGGAGGGTGCTCCCATCGATGACGTCACTGTTGATTACCTCACAGCGTTGCACGTCGCGGCACACTGTGGGCATGTCAAGGTAAATTATATTCACTGTACAACAGAAAAAGAAATTAAGATCTAATTTGACAGTCGATCACAACGATTTTGAATTCATTGACAACTAGCTTCGTTTTGCTTGTTTAAATAGATATAGACGCAGAAAAGGAATTTCTGTTAAAATTATTTGAAATATAGATTGTGGCACCATAAGCGGACAACCTATTAGAACAAATTGATCTTACTAAATTATCTTCTGTATTCACAGAACAGAATTCTGTTTAGTTCGGTTGTCCGCTTATGACGCCACAATCCATATTTCAAATGATTTTACACATTTTTGTCACGTAATGAAAGGATCAGCAGTATACCACTATTGTGAAACACGTCTTAATGTCGAGTACACACCGCAATTACCACAAAATGCCAAAAACTTAACTATATTTGAGTAACTATATTAACCTTTATAAAGGTAAAAATATTATCAAGATATTTACAAAAGTAAGATTATGAACTAAATAAAAAATATTTTTATATGGCTTATTATTGTATTTTCTATTTTAACGTTTTAGGTAGCAAAATTACTATTGGACAGAAATGCGGACGCGAACGCTCGAGCATTAAACGGATTCACGCCCCTCCACATCGCGTGCAAAAAGAATAGACTGAAAGTGGTCGAACTGCTACTAAAGTATGGTGCTAGTGAGTATACTTTGTTATACGAGTGGCTTTGTACTTTATAAGATCAATTTTTGCCATATTTCTTATTTCGTACGAGTTATGTTGAAATAACCGAGTAACTGAGAGTGGATTTTATTGGCAGATATAGCATGTTACCAGTTGCAGTATCTAAGATTCATACAAAGTAATGTACGTGTTAAAAACCCCGCCAATAAATGATAAACTTTACCGACCATGACAGTTAAAACGATATATGACTATATATACACACAATTTTGTTTGTCTATATTGGAATGGAGTTGTAAACAAATGCTGCCACATAATTATCTTGGAGAATTTCGGTCTTATATTACTTATTATGTTTCACTTAGGTAAATCAGCAACGACAGAATCCGGACTGACTCCATTACACGTCGCATCGTTCATGGGATGCATGAACATAGCTCTCGTGTTATTGGGCGCCGGTGCCGAAGCTGATGCGGCTACCGCGCGCGGGGAAACCCCCCTGCATCTGGCTGCACGTGCACACCAAACAGACCTTGTACGAGTATTGCTCAGGAATAATGCCAAGGTAAGTTTCAGAACATCGTGATATAAAAAATCGTTTAACATGTATGTAAGAAAGAGTAGAGGTCCCTGAATACCACCCACTGGTACGTTATGGCAACAAGTACCAGAAGTTTGGCAAATGAGAGGAAAAGTAAAAGTAACTGACAGATCAGCACTAGATGCGAAAACGTTTTTACATATAGAACCACTTTTAAATCGAGTGCTATTACTAATTTGGTGAAAACAAATATTAAGTTGGGAGTAAAAAGCGCACCAAAAGCTCTTGCAAGATCTAAAAATGTTTGACTGCCTATGTTATTTTTATCTCCATTAAAAACTAAAATATTCATTAGTATTCCAGTATTTTGGACGTATTCATTTATATTTCATTGCAACAACTTTAGTTTTGTTCACCGAGGTTGCTGAGTTACACCAAACTATAGAAGCAAAGATTAAAATGGTTGATATGAAGAAAGAAGTAGGTGTGTGTGATGTGCACATTTAAATATGAGCTCCAATGTATTATAGTGTAGGGTTAGAAATTGTGAAGTTGTGGAATACTAAAATTTGAATAGGTGCCAGCCATTATTGTTAAATACCCAGTACATGGATCTGTTCTAGTAAATTCGTTCATTAATCATGTGAGGCTCGAAAGGGGGGAGGGGGTTCGTAAAAAATCAGGAAAAAATCACGAGGGTGGAGGGGGGCGTAGTATCACTTGTATTTATTTTTTCCTCAAACGCACAATTATTAAACCGAAAAGCGGCGTTAAAATTAAGATTTTTTTGTAGGTACTAAAAAATACACGTGATTTGGGTGAAGGGGGGGGGGGGGAGGGTCTTAAACCTCAATATGTATCACCAAAGGGGGAGGGGGTTTTAAAAAATGCTGAATCATCACGTGATTAATGGACGGCCCCTTAGCTGTATTTTACTGCAGTAAACTCGTTTGATATTTAGGTGGACGCCCGAGCTCGTGAGGAACAGACTCCGTTGCACGTGGCGGCACGGCTGGGGCACGGTGACGTGGCGGCTTTATTACTGCAACACGGAGCTGATGCCAGTGCCGCTACCAAGGACCGATACACGCCCCTACATATCGCCGCTAAAGAAGGTACACTAAAAACTCCATAATCATGATTGATAATTAGATTAGAATATATATTTTGAGATGCGCCGAATAGTGATTTCAGCGAATAACCGAGTACCGAATAGTTTAGTAAGAATGTTTCTAAGTGCTCCATTTGACTAGTTTCGGTATCGTTAAAAAGAATATGCTGTTACTTTTACATTATTTCTCAGACATTAATGGAGTATTTACTTATGAAATAAAAACAGTTGTCAACTAGCCTATTAGAATGCGTTTTAATCAAAATATGCAAACTGGAATTTCTATGTAGTAAAACATTATTTAATTACGGAAAATTTTATTGATTGTGGGTGCATATTACAAATCCACACAAGCATGATGTAAAACTAAATTGTAAAATGAAATGAATGTAAATAAGATAGCGATGAAGATGAATGTTGATGGATGGAGAACAAAAGGTACACCAGAGAAAATATGGTTTTATCGTGTGAGGCATGATATGAAAGTGAAGGGAGTAAGCGATGAGATGACGCCTGACAGAGAAGAGTGGTAAAACACCGCACACGTCGCTGACCCCACATAGACCGAAAACAGGGCGGGAAGATGATGATGATATGTATTCGCAGGCAAAGAAGAGGTAGCGTCCATATTGCTAGAGCACGAGGCGCCGATAGAGGCGGAGACCCGTAAGGGCTTCACCCCGCTGCACCTGGCGGCCAAGTACGGCGACATGGGCGTGGCGCGGCTGCTGCTGTCGCGGGGGGCGCAGCCCGACGCGCCCGGCAAGAGTCACATCACGCCGCTGCACATGGCCACCTACTACGGACACCCGGACATAGCGCTGCTCTTACTCGATAAAGGTATGTTGTGCCTTATGGCTGGTTTACATGTAATTAAGCAGATAAGTATTTTTTTAATTTGAAGTGATTAAGTACATATGTATATATAAATGATCCCTATTTCTCTGGGTCACGCTATCACACGTAAACGGCTGAACCGATTTCGCTAATTCTTTTTTTGTTGTGATATTATTGTCAGGAGAAGGTTCTTATGAAACAAAATAATATGAAAATTGTGTGGAAAATTTAAGAATATTTAACCACCATTTTTTTTTTTGTAATTATCGTTAGTGTTTTAGATAATGTAAACTTTTTTAATGTAATCTTATGGCGTTTGACACAGAATTGATAGAATGCGTGCTGCAATCTTTTGGGTCAGCTAGTTTTTATTTTCATTTTACATGTAAAAAGTAATTTACTCACTTGACATTGGCAGAATAGTGCGAAATGCACAGATAAGCCATTAATTAAAAAAGAAGAAGAAGAAGTATTCAGTAACAAATAAAACGAAACACGGGTGTAGACTGTAAACGTTTGATTTGTTTGATCTTTTGCCAATTAATGTGTGCGCTCGTTAGTAAATACAAGATATTTTTATGAGAAATATGAGTATTGCTAAATACTCATATATCTCATCACCTGCGAAGAAGTTTTATTTTTTTAATGCCTGATAAAGTTAAAAATAATCAGTGTTCCATGTTTACATCTTCGCTGTGTTCTTTTACATTACCTTGGTTGAAGAATGCGGGCCAGTTTCAATGCTCGCGGTAACCTAATACAGTTTTTTGTATTTCATTTCAGTTTTTGTTGACTACAAACTTTAACTAAACGCATTAAAGTCTATATTACAAAAATACTCGTTTTTCATCGGATTTAGCTTGTTTTCTTCTGTACAGACAATTTGCCGACGCTACTTATAAAAATAGTAGTATTGTAATTATTGTGTTGCTAGACAGTAAGCTAGTGTTTTATTACTATAGGTGCGTCTCCGCATTCGCTGGCTAAGAACGGTCATTCAGCACTGCACATCGCGTGTCGTCACAACCATCCGGATATTGGCTTCGCCCTACTGGAACACGGTAACATAATTTTTGATTAAGCCGTAATTTATTGATTAAGCAAAAAAAAAACGTACTTAACATTCTTTAAAAACCTAGCAAAAATTATTGATCCCTATTACTGTATAATTCTTTTTTCTTGTTGCTCGTCTTTGCATAAAGGATAAGCTCGTTAATTAACAAAAAAAAAACTATAAGATTGACCATTTAAAATAACTAAAATTTCATCTATCCTCTTGAAGATGCTGATCCTGGGGTCAAGTCGAAAGCAGGTTTCACTCCCCTGCACATGGCCGCGCAGGAGGGTCATGAAGACTGCGTCGAAATGCTCATCGAACGAGGTGCTGATGTCAATGTGCCCGCAAACAACGGTGAGTTACGTCAATCTCTGTAGTCGAATTATAAAACTGAATTTATTACTTTACCAGCAGGCCCGGATCTAGGGGGAGCAAGTGGGGGTACTTGACCTTTTGAAATAAATTCATAGACATAGGCTACGATAGGACAAACATCTTTTCATAGTCCCTAAATTAAGTTTTACATTGCAAAAATAGTTGTAGATCTGGATCTGATCGTCAGTCTATTAATGTCGTCAATGCTGGATCAATACATATTAAATTTACCAATCAGTTTGTATCAAAACTAACCAATGAGACACAATAATTGATGTTTGTTGCAAACTTTGTTCAATAACAAAACACGGAAAATATACGTTTTAGTGGTTTTTGAAAGTAGGTCACTATTCAAATTCACATTCAAATCCCTTGTGTAGTCTCTCAGCGTACAGACAGCGGGAAACGACGTTGTTTTGTACTAAGTACTATTAAGCCGTATGGGAAATATTGGTGCACCAGTTCGAATTGACCCTGTATATTTAATCTGTTAGGTTTGACACCGGTACACTTAGCTGCATCGGAGGGTCGCACTGCGGTGTTGAAGAGTTTGCTCGGTGCCGGTGGGCATTGTAACGCTCGTACACGTGACGGATACACGCCGCTGCACGCGGCCGCACATCACGGGCATCACGCCGCCGCCCGCGCGCTCATCGAAGCCGGCGCCGACGTCACAGCCAGGGCCGCGCACGGGTGAGAGATTAAATACCGGCCAAGTGCGCGCGGAGTTTATTGTTTTAGGGTATGTTCCGATATACACTGCGAGCACTGCGCAGTGGTCTTACTGCTGAAAAATCCGTTCCGTTATGGACTGCCAGTACACTGCTACATTACCCTAGGGAAATTTATGACGTCATAAATTGCCGCCATATTTGTTCTGTGAGCACTGGAGATTTCGAAGTAAGGTGCTCGCAGTGCTTTTGATCACGTGATCAGTCGAAACAGAATCAGAAAATGATAAGTTTCTAAATAAACAAAAAAAAAATACTTACGTTTATTATAAGATGGATTTAATTGATAAATATTTTTTTTATACACAATTTTATAATATTTTCTTTTGAAAAGAGGGAATCTTTATTTATATTCACCTTGCATTAACAAATTTGAAAATGGCGTCAAAAAATAGGATTAACAGTATACTGGACTGCGTTCCGTTTTAAAAAGTCACCAGTATAACTAGCTATAAAGGAACGGGCTTCCAGTATACTAAATTGACGTCATACTGTTCAGTGGTCGCAGTGTATATCGGAACATACCCTTAATATGTGTTCTGGGCATGGATGTAGTACTAATATAGCAGGACTATAATTGTCATTTCGAAAAAGGAACTTTAGTTGAAAAATTAAAGCGTACTGGTTAAGTAATTCGAGTGTAGTCCCAATGTGTGAGGTGGTGCTAAAGCACATATATTCTTAATGGACGAAACTAATCCACTCAACATTCCTAACTGTGCCCAGGTGGAAGGCCTATGCGGATTGGTGGTGCTAAAACATTGGTATTGTTAATGGATAAAATCAATCTACCCAGTAATTCGTTCTGGGACAACGTGATTGTCTTAAACCATTCCAAAAAAATATATATGTATTTACACATCCTATTGTCGGCCTTTGCGATCGTCGCATAATCTCCGTATCCGCAGTACATCAACGAGCAATTAACTTGTTTGTATAAGAGGTATATTGTCATGTTTTTGGCAATATTAGTACTCGTTCATGGGATTCGGCAACTGATATCGCTCCCCGATTTTCGGAACAGAAAAACGAAAGTCGATCGAGCCGGTCGAGCCTTCATACATTTGAAACGATATCGCAGACCATGAGTACGTTTGGGACCGATTTTGACAGATTGTGCTATTTCATGAGTAAACAAACACTTTCGATTCTCCATAGATATTATAAGGGCGTGCGATTCGTGCCTTATCGGTCATCGATATCGAATTGCACGAGAAGCCTATAAATAATAATAAAATATACTATTATAATAGCCGCAGTAGTTAAAAATCTGAACCATATAGAAAGTCTTACCTACTTAATTAAAATGTCATTGTCGCCCTATTAGAAAGAAACAAAAAGCCTCTGTACTTAATATCCCGCCTGGCTCCCTTTCAGCTGGAAGTATTCTGTCCTGTTTTCAAGGTCCATGGTTCTGTAAGCAATAGGAAAGTTTCGACAGTGAAAAATAAGTCACAAAATTGCTCAAAAACTAAAATTGAATAGTAATAAACATAAAGATTCCGATTTTTAATGAGATACAACGTCCCCATTTTGTACCCTTCGGGTACGAAACCCTAAAACTGCCGAATTATTACACAAATAGTGCAGATGACAACAGAATGACTTTAATAGAAGTTTCTTGAATGTATAACAACCTCAGTATTATTCCTCCCATTTTTTAATCTCTTTGGAAGTCTATTTTTATATTTTTAATTTCTACGCAGGGCTTAATTACGTTTGAGGTAAAGGAATCTTAACCTATAGAGTTTCCAGTAATGTTATGAGTCTCTTAGAGCTTTTGGACCAAACATATGAAAAATGCAGAAAGTCCACAGGTGAGAGGTGCCCCGTTCGCGTTTTTTGCGTTAAATTAAAAGAACATTTTTTTATTCAATCATATATTCTTCACTTTTAATGCCCTTACTGCGTGAGCGAGTTTCTTCCTAATGGATATAAACTTTCGGTAGGTTAAAGGGTGGTGCGAATCTTGCAGAAAATCCGTAAAGCGTCTCACGAAGTTATTACGCGACGAAGTTTCTATAGTGTGTAAGGTCGGTGTATAAATTGACAGTTCTGAACTTCTACGACCGACAAGACGCGATGCATCTTCTGTTAGGTATGCATATCGACCCTTGTGGAAAACAGATAATAACACAACCCAACTAGGTCTACTGCATATTGATGAGTAACGACTGCAGACGTACGGCGCCGACTTGAATCATGGTTAAATTTGATCTCTCATACCATGAGTCATGACTGACCTTACCAACGGTACTTTAATCTTTACAATTTCTATCGAACGCACTAACCACTACGCCACTGTGCTCCGCGTGTTAAATGTTCTTCTTTTGAAGGTAATATACAATAAATCTTTTGTCCGTAGATTTACTCCGTTACATCAAGCAGCCCAACAAGGACACACACTGATAATTCAACTGCTTCTGAAGAACAATGCTGATCCGAACGCTCTATCTGCGGTAATTATGTTTCTTGATCTCTTGGTATTCCATTTGAATATCACACTTCCTTCTCTTCCTCTTCTTTTTCTTTTTCATCTCTTCCTTTCTCTTTCGAAGACGTATATGTATTAGAAATGTCTAGGTAAAGTCACGTTTAAAGGAATTGGTTTGAATTTTGCGCGATTCATTCAAGGTAAGGAAAATATCATAATAATTAATAATTATGATATTTTGGGGTATTTTGGATATGTAAGGAAAATATCATAATTACAAATAATTACCATTATTTTCGTGACAGTTAATAACAGTGCAATAATTTTTATATATTATAATAGTTATATACTAGTTTATGGTATAAATAGTGGAGAGAATCAATACATGGTATCCCAATTAAAGCAGCTAAGGCACTTGGATCATTGTTAAAATATTGAAAATAAAATAGTATTGAAAATATGTAACTAACACTAATTCAAGCACTACGGTAACCAAGACATATTTTCTATCAGACCGGACAGACAGCTTGTGCGATCGCTGATCGTCTTGGCTACATCAGTGCAGTTGAAGCATTGCGTCCTGTCACAGAAAATACCCTCAGTCAAGCCGTTGGTGATACAGGTAAGTGAGATATATTTTTTTAATATTGATGACTAAAACGTTAATATCTTGAACGTGACGCCGCGTGGCGACACTAGTTGTCATCACTCACATCACACGAAGGCAAGCGTATTTACGAGTTAACCCATTATTCTAATTCAATCTTTTATCCCAAAACTATATGAATTAACCACACAAATGTGTCTGAATAACCAGAATGGAAAATATATAAATAGAATTAACTGGCGAGCGGAGCCACCGGTTCAGAATTATACTTCTGTCTATATTTCCTCGAACAAACGAAAAAGGACCTTACGGTACAAACATAGATAATTTGTCATGTCATTACGTTAACCTTACCAGCCGATTACAATCCCTGAAAGGTTAACCTTGCAGGATTCTGGAAAAAAGGGAACTGAAAATGAAAAAGCAACTGTTTTGTTCAATAAAAAAATTTACGTTATGTCGAGTCGATTGCGAAAAATAGGGAACCAGGACTTTGGGTCCGTGAAAATCTGACAGATCTCCACGGAAGTATGATTGATGAGTGAATGTCACATCAGAGAGACCAACCATGAATTACGTCACACATTAAGAGTAGGTTATTCCGACAGATATGCGTTTATGTTAACTCATTTCCTTAAACGTTAATTTAATGATTGTACTATAAATTTTACACTTTCAATAAAAGGATGGACGAAGGTTTAAATTCAAATGTAAATGTTTCAAAAAAGTCTTGCTTGCCTACCATTTAGATAAAAAAAAAAAAACAAAAACTAAAAATCAATTTATTCTACAGTTCGATACATCAATATAGGGCTTGAAACCGGTTCAGAATAAACCGTTTTTGTTAAGATAAAACCTGTTCTCTTATAATGTTCCGTTTCGGATCGGATCTGAATGCGGAATGAAATTCGGATGGAATAAAAACCGGTTAATTCGCTTGGTTCGTAAAAAGCAATGTTCTTACGCTTTTAATGCGAATTATATCATTTTTAAGCGACGACATTTATCATACCTGTGTACGGATGTTATAGATAGGAGTAAAGGCCCTTAAAAACCGCGCTGAAGTTTGTAAGATCATTGTTTGGAGTCATATTTAAACCGGTTAATTAAGAAAACCGTATTTCTAGTGAACCAGTTTAAAAACCTGTTCAAAGGAGCTGAACCTTTTATGTAAAGTTGTGCATGTATTTACGTCGAACCGGTTCAAAAAATTAACCGGTTTCCAAGCCCTAAATCAATCATATTGCCTAATAAGCTCTTATGAATATTTCCCATTGAAATGCTGCTGCTGAGTGTACATTATTTAAATTACTCGGACCGATTTCAAAAATTCCTACATCGTAAGCAAGCTACATCGTACGCAGATGATATAGACTGTATTCTATAGTATTCTATATTTATATTAAGTTATAATATATAACAGCACGCTAGTGAACTCATTTTCAGCTTGAATATAGAGGCGTGGTAATTGATAAATACTGCGAGTGCGCAGAACTTTGATCTAAAAACGTTCCGGTTGCGCAATTCCGCTTAATGATATCCGTCGAACTGTGCATAAATCCAAAACTGGACGGCGGCCAGCTTGTTACACTTGGTTGTTTTTCATAGTAAAGTTGGATGTGAAGTAACAAAAATTATTTATATCGATTTGCGAACTGATGGTAAGTTTTTTTTTTATATCAACAAGCGCATGTGACAACCGAGACTGAATAAATCCGTTTCTATAAAAATGATCTCAAAATAGTACTTATTATTTTTAAACCATTGACTACCTAAAGCAAATTGATAATGACAGAAGAGAAAACGTCAATTTGACACGTCTTGACTTGTTTTAGTCGGACAATGGTTTGAACATGAAGCTAATTTAGCAAGTCCTCGTTTTATAATAAGACGGATGGCTTTTAAATCTATTCCTTAGCCATTAAAACAAATATTATTATACTCCTGTTACTAACTATAAAATAAAAAGTTTTTTTTTTTATCTTAGTTCTTTATAAATTGAAAACTATCTTTGACAGGATTAAAACTAAATTTAGTTCTGTGCAGAAAGTTGAACAGCAAATATTTAGACATGATAAGTATATATTCAGCGTTTTCAATAATTATCCCTGAACTAGTACAAATTGCAACATTTCATCAAATATATAATCAATGATATGGTTCTTTTATTTTTGTGTAATATAAACTAATTCGTAACAGTAAAAAAATTGATAACATACATAAAGTACAATAAATAAAGAACTGTATGCAATTCTTTCTTATATGTGTACAGAACTAAGAACTATATACAATTCTTCCTTATATGTGTACAGAACTGTATACAGTTATTTATTTATTATACAGTATTGCAGTTCTATGGTACTGCAGCATTCTATACTGCTATATTTTTTCACTACGTCACGACTACTATTTTAAAGACTATGAAACAACAAGGAATTAAAACATTCACTCCAAAATAGCCACAATTTTTGTTTTGATTACTTATTTTATGGGGGTGAATCGAGACCGTGTGTTAGTCGTTACGAGCTAAAAAAAGATTGGAAACAAAAATAAATTGGACAGGCTACGTGTTGAATTAATAGATTTATTGTACTATTTTACTCTGTCAATAAACTTTATAGTGAGTATAAAGTTTATTGACAGAGTAAAATTGTAACTAGGTTAAACAAGTAAGCCTATTGACATTCGAATTTGGTTACACACTGCTTACCAGCAAGGAGTTACATTAAACAACACTATCGGTCAGTTGCACAAACGTCCAATAAGGTTTAATGACGGCTTTAAGCTCTAATTAATGTCAAATTTGTATGGGTAATGTCGCTTTAAACTAATGAAAATTTAAATGGACGTTTGTGCAACTGGCTAGGGACCATCCATAAATTACGTGACACGATTTTCATGATTTTTTTGCCCCTCCCTCCGTCCTATGACCTCCTATAACACTAATAAATAATTTTAATATATTGTTAACTAGTTGGCGTTTCCGAATGGTCCCTAGGAAACTGTTTAGTGGGATAAATAGTAGCCTATATATTCATCCAACTTTAAAATAAACCATATACCAAATTTCATCAAAACCTGTCAGTAGTTTCTGCGTGAAGAAGTAACAAATATTGAAACTCATAAACTTTCATGTTTATAATACTTGTAAGATAGCATTCGTTTAATAGACCACTGCAACTCTGAACATACATTATATAAAACAAGTTATTAGCAAAAGACTCTATAAAGATATTTTGGTTGTTGTGTGCATCAATGATTGAAGTCATTGGCACAATAGTTAGCGCGTTTGGTCTGCGATGCGGAAGTTAAGAAACTTGCGCTAGAGCCGGTCGTAGGATGGGTGACCAATATATTTTATTTAGGACTCCTCATTGCTTCGGAAGGCACTTAACATCCCAGCACACTGGTCTAGGTTAATAAAGAACTCTTTATGTTATTTAGAAACTAAGTTATGACAAATTTATGTCAATGTTTATATTCTTTACACTAAGTGTAAACCATTAACCATATCTCACTAGGCTCATTATGAGATTTAGGTAATTTTTATATCGTTTCCTTGATGAGAGCATACGACTTTGTGCTATAAACGTATTGTAATACAGTCTTTCTATAAGACCCTAGTAATTGAGCGTTTTCGTGCAAGTTATACCTAATTTCCTTGATTATCGTAGCGAGCATTTTTATTGCCAAGGTCACTGATAAATAGCAAGTAACCTTGACATAGGCTGTGTTTGTTAAGAACACGCGTTGTACTAACGTGCTTACGCCTACATAACTATATATAGGCGATTAACGAAAAAATAAGTATCTCTATGAAGTTTCAATGATAACACTCGTGTCTATTGAAATAATGATTAAGAATAATGTAAAATAAAAAATAACCTTTTTCGTAAATAATTATTTAGCAATAGCACCATTCTTTTAAGTTGATGAATTAGAGAGTAAGCGACAATTTTTAGAGACTGTTTTTTATGTGATAATTATTATTGTCAGCCTATTGTTGTCCCTGCTGTTGAGACTATACTTATGAATCGAACAGCTAGAACAGGGCATAACCCTTGCGAGTCTAGTGTGGATTGGTGGACCAACGGATTAAAGTGCCTAACGCTCCCTTAACATTTATCACAGACGCTAACCACTGCGCCATGGTATTTTTCTTTTTATGTGAAGGTTATAAATTCTCAATACACAACAGATAAAAGGAGAATTTCGACAAGCATTCATTATTCCGAAGAAGGGAAAGTACCTACAAAATGTAGTAAGTATATACAAAATGTTGTATATTTTTTGACGTTTTGACAGTATAACAGGAAACGTCCTCGACCCGCAGACATTTTCTATGTAAATATCGAATTCTTATTAAGGCTGGGCGCAGAACCGGCCCGTCTATACAAGCAAACTAGGCAACGGTCTACTGCCTAGGGCGCTCGTATTTGGGGGGTGGCATAGCATGACAAACAGATTAGGTATTGTTCTTTGAACACGAGCGGTATTCAAATTTACAACTTTTTCAGACAGTGCCTAAGGAGTTTCTTTTTTAATAGGGATGACGACAGAGTAAAAAAAAGAAAGACTATTTAGTCCGTCAGTCAGATAATAGAAAAATATTAGTTACGTATTTCTTTTACTTCAACTCAACAAGAAATAGCTTAGATAACAAACATTAAAAAGCTTAGATACCGAGAAGTGGGGACTCGCTACGTCACAGTTTTGTAGAAAATGTACAAAAGCGTGATGTCATGCGACATTTCAACTCAATCTATCGCCGCAATTGAATGATAACGCAAAAAATCAAAAAGTGTTCAATATTTTTCAAAAATCTACCTGATGGACAAACAAAAAAAATAGTCGTCATACCTACTAGCAAAATAACACTTTTTAGTCGGTGTTCTTACACTATAAATCTTTTATTTTGGTGTGATATTTTTATGGGCATCGTTCCGGCGTTTTGCCTAGGGCGCCAAGTTTTATCGAGTCGACTCTGGCTAGGCGTAAGGATAAAAATGAGACTG